ACCCTTTCAGCTGGTGCACGGCAGAAAGGTGACGACGATGCTCGACGCCATGCTGCCCCACGACCCGACGGATGACGGCACTGACGACGCCCAGCTGGTCACCCAACGAGCAGAAGAAGTACGCCAGCTAGACCGTCTTCGAATAACGACCAGCAACGTGTGGACGCTGGCCGGTACAACCTTCGCCGCCGCGACGTGGAGTTCCAGCCCGGAGACAGGGTATGGGTGTGGACGCCCATTCGCCACCGCGGCCTCAGCGAGAAACTGTTAAAACGCTACTTCGGACCCTACAAGGTCATCCGCCGCCTTGGGGACTTGACCTACGAGGTGCTCCCCGACGGAACTCGCCCATCAGGACGCCGCCAGCCACGACCCGAAGTCGTCCACGTAGTTCGACTCAAGCCGTTCTACGCGCGTTAGGATTGTGAAACTGCATGTTTGTTTTGTTTCACCGTAATTGTTTTAGCCATTTCCGTTTTCCTTTCGTTTTGCATCGGGGCGATGCACTTTTAAAGGGGGGATAATGCCACCCGCAGAGCCGAGAAGGCAACGCTCGGTCACGGTCTTCTAGAAGATTCCCGGTCATTCTCGCAGCAGACGTAACTTTCCTTCTGCTTTGTTATTCTCGAAAGTGCCAGTTCATCCTCGCCCCGAGCGCGCGACGCTCGAACCTTCTTTGCCGAACTTTCGAGATAGTGACGCAGGGTAGATAAGCGGCTTCCGCGACCTTGTCGAGTCAGTCTCAGTCTCGCTCGCGCTCTGTTTCGCCGCCGAATCGCCGCCTGCTTTTCTGCTACCTCGACGCTCTTTCGTTATTTATTTTTGGTTGGCACAAGTTCGCCCATTAAACCTTTATTTTCAGTTTACTCTTTGCCTTCTCGTCGCCTTAATTCGTGACAATATCATCTCCGTGGCCAACCCAAATCTGCCCTTGGCCACTGGTGTTTTGCCGGTGCCACGATATCATCTCGGTGGCCGACCCAAAGCCGCCCTCGGCCACTGGTGTCCTCCTGGTGCCAGGGTCTCAGGTTGTTGGCCGACCCACAGCCGCCCTCGGCCACTGGTGTTCTGCCAGGGCCACGATATCATCTCGGTGGCCGATCCAAATCCGCCCTCGGCCACTGGTGTTCTGCTGGTGCCACGATATCATCTCTGTGGCCGACCCAAATCCGCCCTCGGCCACTGGTGTTTTGCCAGTGCCATGATATCATCTCGGTGGCCGACCCAAATCCGCCCTCGGCCACTGGTGTTTTGCCAGTGCCATCAATATCATCTCGGTGGCCGACCCAAATCCGCCCTCGGCCACTGGTGTCCTCCTGGTGCCACGATATCATCTCGGTGGCCGACCCAAATCCGCCCTCGGCCACTGGTGTTTTGCCAGTGCCACGATATCATCTCGGTGGCCGACCCAAATCCGCCCTCGGCCACTGGTGTTTTGCCAGTGCCATCAATATCATCTCGGTGGCCGACCCAAATCCGCCCTCGGCCACTGGTGTCCTCCTGGTGCCACGATATCATCTCGGTGGCCGACCCAAATCCGCCCTCGGCCACTGGTGTTTTGCCAGTGCCACGATATCATCTCGGTGGCCGACTCACATCCGCCCTTGGCAGCTGGTGTTTTGCCGGTGCCACGATATCATCTTGGTGGCCGACCCAAATCCACCCTCGGCCACTGGTGTTCTGCCAATGCCACCATGCCAGCTCGGTGGCCGACCCAATACCGCCCTTGGTCCTTAGTCTTCTGCCGGTGCCCGGCCATTGGTGCTCAGCCGATGCCTGAGCCGGGGGTGCTCGGCCATGGGGCCCGGCCCTCCCAAAGCCCGGGCAAGTGGGCCTTTCTTATGCCGAGGGACCATAACGAGGTCGGCACCGACCTCTTTGGCCGGGCAATGGCCGATGAAAATAGGCTCGGCCATGGGGATATGGCCATCCTTCGGCCGGGCTCTCCGTGCTACTTGGGTAAGCTTCATAAAAAATCGGTAACTTTGGCAAATAAAAGTTACCTTGAACAAAATATGTACAATACAGTTGTACAGCGTCCATTTGTGTGCTTAACCAATTTTGAGGCAAATCGGCGACAATGAAACGAAGACGTTTCAGTACAATTAAGGGAAAGACAGAAAGGATGCATACCTACAACAAAAAAAATTTAGAACGACCACGGGCAGGAAACTCTGGTGAGGCTCTCGGAGCGACTCCCTGCAATGGGCCTGCGCAGACCACAGAACAAGATCGGTCAGAGCTTGCAGCCATAAGGTGCTTCATACCATGAATTACAGAAGCTGGTGCAATTGGAAGCAAAGTGCTTTTCATTCCTCTGAAAAACGAAGAGTTTAATAGCTAGTATGCATTCATAAGGTGATACAGTCATGAACCCTGGTCAAAATGCCCACAGAGCACCCACAGAAAATCTGTGTGGGGTCCTAGAGGTCTCTATGGGGCACCCATGGAGTTGTATGGGTGTCCTAAAATCTCTGTGGGGTCAGGCCTGTGGGCCTATGGGACATGTGGGTTACTGTGTGGGCTCCTTTAGGTAACCCACACAGCCTGTGGGCGCCTCCTTAGGTAACCCACACAGCTTGTGGGGACTTCTTTAGGTACCCCACACAGTCTGTGGGGATAGAACTGTGGCTTTTATGGGACATGTAGGAGATTCTGTGGGTTGCTGTAGGTACCCCGCAGCATGTGGGAATAGAGCCTAGGATCCCATAGGTCAAGTACGACACTGTGCAGGTTGCTGTAGGGATGCCACACACGCTAGGGGAGCACTCTGTGTTGCTACGTGGGACATGTGTGGGGTCTATGGAAAGCCTATGGATATGCAGCCTCAAGATATATCCTACAGAAGTCATGCAAAATGCAACCTTTTTGTAAGTTCTTTTTTTTTACATAGCTTATCCCGGTGCGCAGAACACTACGCCGACGACGTCGACAATGCAGGGTTTTCTTCGAAATGGGGCTTCAAATGCTCGCACAATAATAAGTAATTATTAATGCGTGAGCATTAATAATTACTTATTAATTATTGAGCATTGAGCTCATGAACATTGCTCCAAAGTTTTAGTTTCGTGTTCTGTGCTCTGACCTTATCAGTCTTGTGTGTTCAGCAATCTAGTGAAAGGGTATATTGCCAAAATGCAGAGCAATATATGTGTATGTTTATAGGCAGCAAACAAATTAGATGCAGGACAGGACTTATTTGGACTTTTATTAAGTTTATTTTACAGATATCTAATGGACCACGAACAAAAGAGAAGCAGCTAGTACATTGACGAGTATACATGAACAAATGCAATCATTTTGCAACAGAATGGTGATTGGGTATAAAAGAAAAGCATGTTTTAAAATGAATCAATATGCAAAAGAACAATAAGTCATGCTTTGGTGCATATATATATATATGTTAAAGACATTGCATATTTACATGGTGGTGATAAAATATCAATCAAGCTCATATCTTCACCATATTCACAAAATACTACAAGTTTTTGTGCACTAAATGAGTGTTAAGGAGACAAGGAGACATTAAAAGTGTAAATACAAATATGTATGGAAGTGCAACCGCATCAATGGCCAAGTGTGTTAGTGCACCACAGCTCGGACAATCTGGAGAGGAAGCTCGCACTGCAAAACCAATGGATTTCATGCTCTGTCTTTACCTGACATTAAAACTAATTAACAGTCGACTTTCTTTTTATAAATTGGCCAAATTCATTTAAAAAGAAGCCGGGATGAATGCAAATGTTTGCTTATCCTAGCCCTGTACCACGACCACCTATATGGTGGCCTGCATTGTATAAAATAGTCCACATTTTAGTTTGATAGCTTCTGCAAACAATACACATCCATGTATGCTCAGAGTTTGAAGGGGCTGTGCAACAATGTTCGGGCTTCAACCAAATAATAGCGAGACATAGTTTCCATCCCTTCTAGAATTGGCAAACAGAAAACCATTTTTCTGTACATGTGCTTGCTCTTATTTAAAAAATAAATAAAAAGTAAACATGCTCACGGGTGCGCACCTCTTAATCAGACTCAACTTAAGCCAAAAGCCAATTGAGCCAACTTCTTGTGCATCATGAAGCGTGCAAGAAAAGATTGAACAAATAATACCAAACTTTTCACCAGGACTACGACGGTGTCATTACTTTTTTGAGCATGTGTGTATTGAGACGAGCGGTACACAACAGTTCGAGCAATGAATGTTGAATAGACAGAATACAAGGAGGCACAGCACCAAGAGTAGAGATAATGCACCTTTTCTCGACACTGCTGAAATTGGATGGCTGCGCATTGCCCAAAACAGTTACGCCAGAGATTTTGTCCCCAAAGTGGCACCTTTTCTCATCTTTGAAAAATATGTATTTTTCATTAGATCAGTTCCTTTAGTCAAGAAAAAGAAATGTATAGACTGTTTAAAGGGGCACTGACACCTTAAGGGTCGTATTTTTTTTATTTTCCAAAACAATTCAAGTTGTAGTCACGACACGCAAAAAAAAATGCATCGGGAAAGAAATTTTCTTAAGCGCGCGCCTTTTTATTTTTGGTGCCCTCCTCTCCCGCTCTTCGCCTCCTCGCTTCTTTTGATTCGTGACCTTAAAAATCATGAAGTTTAGAAGCTTTGTAGGCGAAATTTCTATAACATTTAATAGCGGCAATCGTAAAACATGTTTTTTAATGCAATTGCAAATGCACTACGGCCCTTCTTTTTTAAATACCAAAGATCGGAGTCCGGTGTGATGTCGCCTTCCAGAATTGTATCCTCCCTCGGAAAACATGCTGCCTGGGCAGGCGGCACCGCCCCCTGCGTGAAATAAAACTGTTTTTTCTCGGTCCACCGGCGCCCTCAACTCCCGCCTCCTTTCCTCTTTGCATCGGGTCGCGATGGCAACAGCATAGAGTCATGAAGAAAGTCGACTCTCAGGACTCCGCAATATTTGACGTCAATGCACTGGCGCGGATCGCGCGGGAACTTCGAATTCGGCATTTGGAAATTGCTTTTAAAAAATCTCTACATCACAAATAAAAAAAATACAATTTTGATGTGTCAGTGCCTCTTTAAGTATGGCCTTCTGTAGATCCTGCATTGCTATTCCACGGTTTCCCTTGATGCAAAAGGCAGAATGGGTCCACAAAGGCTCCCAATGCAAGACATTCTTTGCCAGGTACTGGAGCAAGTGAACATTGAAGACCATGTTAACGTCTCCACAGAGCATGTTGTATTTTATCATAAACTCAGTTAACAGAATATGAGCTGTGATAATGTCATATTTTGTGAGTGTGTCATGAACGAGGTAATAAATAGAGTGCACAAGAAGAGCCAGGTGGCCAAGGAAAGGCTTGGGCGAAATCCCGCAGAGTATCGGCGGCGGATAGTACAAAAGCCACGAATGATACTCCTGCGCCTTCCAGAGTTTTCGTTCACTCACTCCCCGGGGAAACCTGCCCAGCTTGGATATTGGCTTGATGGCTCTCATCCTACAGTCCACCAGCCTCACAGTTGCTGGTTCTCCTAGATAGAACGCCTCCCCACTGTTGCTGTCAAACCACAAGTTCAAAAGTGACCGAGAAACACCGAGGAGGACAGCATGCATATAGTAGTCGGGAACAAAAGACACAATAACGCTAAAAGACTGCATGTTGAGCAACGGAGAGGGGTCTTTAAAACCTCTACAGATAACACCTCCTGACGCAGCTTCGTACATGTCACGGATCGCCCCCTTTGATTTTCGGTCTTGAACCACCTTGACACTGACTGTATAGCGAATTGCCCTAACAATGAGCGATACGGGATGAAGACACCAACTGCAGCCGAAGTAGGTGTTGAACTGAATCATGTTTTGCAATAAGGGCCAAGCCACAGAGTCCACAGTGCAGCATACTGCAAAGGCCTTACTTACAACCTCCGTGCCAATGCGCTTCCACACAAAGCCCTTGGCACAAAGAACTTTGTACTGCTGCACAAAACTTTTCAGATATAGCACCATGGAAAAGTGGTTTTCTCCAAACCAGACGCTTGAAAGAATGACATTTCTAAGTGTCTAAAAGACAGAAAGTTTGTTTATAATAAGCTGAAGAGGCCAGATGAAGCAATTTTTACTTTTGAAAACCGGACATCCATTTGTAATAATTGTAAAAGAAATGTTCTTGGGGTTGCCCAGAACTAAGAACTTTTTGCATAGGTTCTTGTAGATCTCTCCATCACATATGTCCGAAAACCTATCACTTGGTCTATCAAACCATGTAGTCAAGAAGCTATGATCTGTAAAACTCTCCAGAACACTCCTGAGTTACAAGGCTAATGAAGCTGTCAAAAAAAAGAAAATTCCAGTCACATTTTCTTACATCAAAAGCTTCTTACAGATCTAGCATTTCTGCTTGTTGCTCTCGGATGTTAACGTCAATTCAATAGAGCAAGTTAAACAATAATAAACCAGATCATAGTTCTTGCAGAAGTTTAGTGCCTTTTCAAACATGTGGAGGGAGCTAGGGACTACCTGTCTTCCAAACAAAATATTCACTAGGAACAAGGCATCCTTAATCCCAGTCATTGAGAGCCCAAGGCAGATTACAAACAAGATAATCAAAACAAAAGCTTCTGCTTTCGTCACCGTCAACCCCCCCCCCCCCTCCAACTTCAAACACACACCTCATTGGATGGCATTCCAATGAAGTGTCATCTTCACTAGAATTTCCTGAAACCAAGTCCTCAGACGATTCGGATGAAGAGGAGTCCTGTGCAAGATAAATGGAATCAATTTACAATGTCAAAATACCATACAATTGCATGGCACCAACCGATAGCCCTTTAACTAGAGACTACTACTAAATAAATGTGCAAGCAAATGAAGAAATTATGCCGCAGCTAACAATGGTACTATTCGCCCCAGGTTCAAATTACAAGATTTTACAAGATATGAACACAGTATCTTTAACTGTTTTCTTTTGTACATGAAGTGTTTTTGTTGGTAGAGTGCAGGCCTCCCTATTGGCCTTAAAGCCAACATAAAGATAGCCATGAGTAAGGAATGAGTAAGAGTAGCATTCTATTTAAGTTAACCTCAAATTAATTAGGTCACTATTCTCACCATTGTGCTGTCTTCTGGTTCATCTGGCTGGGGGCTGACCCACTCGGTTTCCTGATACTGAAAATAAAACATCAACGTGAACAGGGTGCATACAGATATCCCATGTACATCATGTAAACCTCCAATGAATACTTTCTTCAATAATGACAAATCAGAGCACTAGAAATGTTCTAGACATTTTATAGGCTTAGCAAAATCCAACTATTTTACATTTTGTATGTCTGCCTACTGGGTAGACACCCTGTTAATTTTATCAGAAAATTCTGTGGTTCTATAGACCATTCCATTTAGCGCTCTCTGGGCGGCACCATTTTGTTTGACCGCAGCACCCTCTCCACACATCCGGGAAGTTCAGCGGGTTCGGCGGGGTGAAACGAGAGAGAGGGCACGCGCCCGACTCTGCTAGCAGACACAAACCGGGAGGTTGCCGTTCTCCATCTTTGGGCTGTATCGGCGGGCAGTACGGAACATCGAACTCTTGCTCGTGGCTGCCGTTGTGAAGTGGTTCGCGTTCTTACCGCCGTATTCATAAACATTCCCCCACTCGACTCCAAACTCGACTCGACTTGAGTGGAGTATGGACGCGCGACTCCACTCGAAGTGCCATTCGTATTCACAGACGCGAATCGGCACTCACTCGAACTCGAGATTCCGTTCTCCACTCCAACGAGCTTGAGGACGTCTGGGAGCGAGAATATAGCCAAAGGTTTTATTCAAAACACCATTTTCACGTGAAAAATAAACATATTCGTTCGTTTTATCTAAAAAACGTGTACCATACAAACATCGAATTAGTGAACTACGAAGTTTAATTAAGGCAGCGAAAAGTTTAGACGTGTTTGAGCGACAAAACGGACAAAGTCGTTATCTTAATTGTCTGGCAACAAGCGCATTCGCTGGCTGCGTCTTGTCGTTCTCTCGTCGGCGGTCGTCCATCTCACGGTTTGTCGATCTCGTCTCGGTCTTTCTTGATTTCGCCCCGTGCAGCCCTGCTTCGTCGCCTCGCCGCCTTGCACGACGAATAATGGAGGACCCCAACGGCAACGACTCGGAAATGGCCGATAGCGAAGAGCGGGCAGGGGCTCGTTTTATTTATACTGCGGAGGAGAAGGCGCTCCTCCAAGCGCTCGTAACCAAGCATGCGCGAGTGCTAGAAAGCAAAAAGACAAATAACTACTCGAAGGAGGCTAAACTTAAAGCTTGGGAGAAACTCAGCACCGAGTATAACAGCCAGCCAAACGTCCGCCCACGAAGCGCTAAGCAACTTAAGAAGCGTTGGGAGAACGAAAAATCCAGGTACAAAAAAACGAAGTCCGACGAAACGAGAGACATCCACGCCACGGGTAAGTCGACCATTTGCATATTTGGTAAACCGTTCCCGATGTGTAAAAAGTAAACATCCGAGAGAAGTCCTTTTCGGCCAGAACAATGCTATGTGCACGACGTCGTGCACCTTGTTGGGTCTCGTATAAAACAAATTGTCAAAACGAGTTTTTCAAAGCTGTAGCGTAGCAAAGTCCGCTGCATACGCAGGCAGCAGATCCAGGTTCGATCCAAAGTGGGCCTACTACTTCTTTTTTGTTTTTACATATTTTTTGTAGAACATTTGGCGTTATTGACATTTCTATTTCTACAATCGCCACTGAAAAAAAAGGGGGGGTCTTCGCATCTTGCGGGAAGCCTATTCTAACAAAGTGCCCAGCTTTCAATTGCCCATAAGAAGGTTCCAGGTGGTTAAATGTACTCCTCCACTGGGTTGTGCCAGATTCTTTGTTGGGTTCGCTCTAGTCCCCCCAATAATTGTTTTTAACTCGCACGGAGGCATTTCGAAAATTCAGTGTGCACTTTGAATTGTTCGCCCCATACTTTGTTCACTCTCTCTCCAATGTGAGCTTCGAATTCTTTGGTTTCTGTCAAAGGAGGTGGGCCACGAACAAGCCGCCCGATGAGCCCCTCACTCATCCTTGTGGGAGCGGCGGCAGAGCACATGGAGACAGTGGTGACGAATCTCTGTGACAGCGACAGGGCAAGAGACCGGCCAGTACTGTCGCTGCCTCCGGCCGCTATGTTGGAGGCGATGGTGCGAGGCACTGAAGGCGATGACAGTCACGCCAGCTGGGCACTTTGTTAGAATAGGCTTCCCGCAAGATGCGAAGACCCCCCCTTTTTTTGGATTGGGACAAATTTGCACCAACATGTTGAGGATGAGTACTGTGAGCCGTAACATGTCTACTTGTATTTGCGACTCGTATCATTTTAACAACAAACCTGGAACAAAAAAAAAAAGCAGGCACCCAAGCCTTTTCCTTTTATTGCTCGGCAACATCTACTCTATTGTACATATCTTCGAAGTTCCAAAATTGAAAATGTGAGCAGTGGGTCGCGACGTAGTACTGTAAATTGAAACCAAAACTAGTGGTTAATAGACCTGTTGCAAAGCGTACAGCGCTACGACGGCAGAGAATTTTGGGAAGACTCGGTGCAGATCACGTGCCCTCGTTGCGCTTCCGCGACAGCGAGCGAGTTGCTGCAGCTGCCGCCAGCAGCAGTCGCAGCCATCCGCCAAACCGTCGTTGGCGGCGTACCGCATCTGTGGCAGTGTAAGCGCATCTCTACAGGTGAAGCTATTCACCTATTTAAATACTTTATTCATTGCAACTTACCATCACGTCTTGCAGTGTCACCGAATCCACTTATTTTGCACCGCAACCGTGGCACAGTTCGACTAGGCTTCAAAGAGTTTGTGTAGCAATCGACGGAGCCGGTGCAAAGGAGAGGGATAAGAAAAGGGCAGCCTCACAAAAGATAGCCAATGAGATAACCTCTCGCATTTCTGTGCACCTGCTTGCGTATGCCACATGGTAGCAGGAGGAAGAACAATGGGACGGGCGTACCTAGGACTCTCAATATTCGTCTCGTGGCACGCGCGGGCTTATGGGATTTTTCAAAGGGTCTATTGGTATCGAGAAAACATTGCGGGGCACCTCTCCAATTTGAGCGCTTCTATAGTTCTGAAATTTTTTTATGGACATATTTTTTTTTGCCGCGCATTCATCAGCGATTGTAGGTCTTTTTTCCCAAAATTCCTTCATGGAAATCTAGTGCTTGCGACGCATTGCACTAATCCATTTTACAGCTGCTATATATTTCATGGAAAAGTATGAAAGGTGACAACCACAAAAGTCTCGTCCCATTCACGAAAAATATCTAGCACAACAACAATGAGCCACATCGTAACACTTGCACTGCTGTTATGGGCAACAAAAAAAAATGGAGGGACACAAATAAATCTCCTTGCATTCTGCTACCACAGAGCCTCCGCTGTTGTCAATGTTGACAATGTAAACACTGCTCATTTGAGGAGCAGTTTAAGCTGTTTAAAAATTAATTACTCATTCAGGGAAGTATAAAATATTAAGATTTTCTGCTAAAGATGTGTTTAAATCCAAAAGCCGATTTATTTGTTTTCCTGGAGATACAATCTGACCAGACAACCCATGTTGTAACATAATTTAAGGCAACAACCCAGGGACGGGAAAAAAAACAACAGCACAACACACGAGTCTCAAACACAGCTGTGGGGGTTTGGAGAGCCTATATACACACAAACCTCTGCACAATAAATTTCAGCTGTGTTTGAGACTTGCGTGTTGTGGTGTCACTCTTTTCCCGTCTCGGGGTTTTCGCTTTAAATTTTTGTTAAACTTTCACCAGCTTGTTTGTGCCTCAACTTTTTGTTCACTGCTGCAAGTTAGCGACAAGCTTGCGCATATTTGCTCTTAACAAAGTGCCTGCCATAACAACTGTCTGAGTGTACACATGTTGTGGTGTCCCCTTTGAGGAAGGTTTACATAGTGCAGTTACTCTTGTTTGTTTCTCAGAGAGGAATTTGATCGCATCAGCTGTCTGACATGGCAAGGTCTGTCGTTAACCAACTGAACAAAACATGCAATCGGGGCAAAAACGCATGTAGTCAAAGCACGACGTGAAGGTTGAAGCAAAGGGACACAAATTTTATGATAATGCAACGGTAAACCATCCACAGTGCTGGAACTGGTGCAGAGCATAACCCATCGGACACGCTTTGTAGTTTGCCAACGCCTAGCTTTGAAGATTTCTGCAAAAGGCCAATGTGGCTGTTGGGCCTCTTCCCCTGTGTACCTGCTCTTCCCCTAGCACTCACAGTGCCAATGTGTTCTGCATGCCCAGATGCTCCTGAGCCGTCCGCCTCACCTCTCCAAGAGAGCAGCGTTGGAGCTGCGTATGCGACTCCGCCGGCAAGGGGCATTACCTGCCCCCGTGCTGAGCTGCCAAGCGGGGCATCCAGAAAAGCTGGGAACCGCATCGCAGCATTGGAGCGGATCCTGGCTCCCGAAAAGGATGCCCGTGTCGACATCCTCGAGAGGGAAGATCGGCGAAAGGAGGCGCAACATTTAATGGAGATGCGCATACTCCGAAACAAGCTTTTTGAGCAGCGACGACGCGGACGGGCAGAGTTCCAGCTGCTCCAGCTGGAGAGAGAGATAAAGGTGGAGCAGCTGGCAGCCCTGCGCTGCAAGCAACAAGGGTGTGGGAATCATGATTAAATTTGGGTTCTTTCAGTTTATTAGCATTCTGAGGATTTACTTATTTATTTTAATTATGTGCGCTACATTGTAGTGAAACGGTAGAACCAAATGTGTTTTGCATATTCGGAAGTTGAATGAAACAGCACACTAGAATTGAAGGAAAGGGCAGGTCTTTCGTTAGCTCTGTGCTGGCCACAAGTCTTTCCCAGAATATGTTTAAGTGACCGAATACCCGGAATTTGATTTAAGAATCAATTTATTCGAGAGCTTACTACTGGATTCGTGTCCGAGTATTTGCACGAGTCAGTGATGGGTCAAGAACGGAGTACAAGCTGGAGAGGAGAAATAGGACGGAAGCTTTAAGTGGTGAGGAGGTTTCTCCTCTCCACCTCAAGCTTCTGTCTGCTTCCTCCTCTCCAGCTTGTACACTATTCTTGACCTGTCATTGACTATGAACATGTGCTTCTGCTTGAATATCTCTATTGGAAACACAGTGCGATGATCTGTGTGCGTTTCAGCGAGCCGTTGATTGTGTCGACAGGGTCTGGAGGTGATGGCAGTACATGAGGACGCAGCCGCCTCCGGCGTCGGGGGACTGGTGGAGAGGGTAGAGCGGGTGGGCATGGCTCTTTTCGCAGCCGGGCCAGGTTGTGCAGTGCAGCACAGGCGGTGATGATGAGGGCTGACCGTTCCGCCTTGTACTGCAGCCGCATGTCCAGGCATGGGAAGCGTCGCTTGAACACTCCAAATGCTCGCTCGACCGAGTTCCTTGTTTTTAGGTGAGCTGCTTGGTACCTATATGGTGCAGCATTGGTAATGGAAGCAACGTTGCAAGATAAAGGTCTTCAGGTGTAAAAATCGCCACTGCTGCAACCATCAGTATGGTTCAGTAACCTGTAGAGTATGGCCCATCCGTGCTGGCTGCATTTTCAGCATTTTCTATTGCTTGCCAGAGGCTACTGTTCTGCATACAGTGTGGCTTTGGCTGGTGTTTTCTACATTACCACCTTAATTCAAGTTCTTGGCCCTAATCCAATTCTAGTGACAAAGAGAAACAATTGACACTGACTAACTGTAAAGAACAACAAATGTTCTCGAGAAAAAAAAAAAAGAAAACTAAAATCTTTATGCTACATACTTTTGAAAAAAAATTTGTCCACAGGAAGTGAATAATGCCAGCTTATTTTGCCATACAAAGGCCCAAAGGTCATGAATCTAGCTGTGACAAAGATTTGCAGAACTAATAGTAACCAATAGGAACGCTGTGGCTACTGCATCACTTCTTGTTAGCTGTTCTGAATTTTATGCCATTATTTCTTCCAACAAACTAGTACATACCTGCCCTTTGGGCTGTTGGCTACACCTGGGCTGGTCAGGGGCGTCAGAAGAAATGACATGCAGGCATAGCCTGCATCTCCGAGCAGCAGGCCAGGGATGCGCCGATTCTCGTACAGGACCCTTGCACGACTGTTGTCGAATATCCTGCTGTCATGCACAGAGCCTGGCCACCTAGCAACAAGGTCAAAAAACTGCAGCTGGGGTCCTGTGATGGCCTGTGGATAGGAAGGAGCAGTACAGGGATGAGCAGGTTGCCATGATAAGAACACAGAAGTGCTCAAGCTGAAATTTCTACTATGATTAGTATATTTTTGACAAAGTGCATCTGCAAGCTTTGGAAATTAACTAGCATTTGAGTCGCAGTTGTATGTGACATAAGCTTCACAATGTGGTTTTAATTCCTAGGTTTTTCAGGCGGTATAATAGAACAGAATTTGAGCGCGGGATAAAATCTCCCTAATATTTTCTTCGAAAAGTATAATTAAAGGGGAAAATACTATGAAGCATGAGCGTTTGCTATAAAATAACAAAAGCCATCTCGGCACCCAATCAAATGTATGTTTCAAAACACACAATACATAATTCTTGGTTTTGAACCCTCTCTAGCTGGCCCACCACCACTCTGCACTGTCGCAGAGTACAGATCTCTTCACAAGTTCTAGTACATATCAGTCACAATATCGCCGAGCTTTCACGTGCGACGCCGCGTCTTGGCGTGCCGTTGTTTTCAACTTTTTCGCTGTCGCTAACAGCACAAACAGAAGTGAACTTACCTGCACGTTGAGGGAGAAGAACCCCTTCCTCTTCCTGAAGACTTCCCCATTGGGACCGCCAGGTCCCTTTATTTTGACGTGGGTGCAGTCGATGCACCCAGTCACACTGGGGAACTTCCCGATGTTGTAGAAATCCCGCATGACCTCGTCGCAGTCGCCCTCCGGGAAATCCACGAGGCGGGGGAAGAGAGTCTCGGCGAGCACCCGGGAGACGCGCTCGATCACGCGGCACACCGTCGGCTGCGACACGTTTACGAGGTCGCCCGTGACTACTTGAAAAGTCCCGGCGCCATAAAATCTCAGCGCTACGAGGAGCTGGAGCATCGGGGACAGTGGCAGGCCGCGACTGCTCTCGTTTGCTTCCAGCGGCAGGCACTGCAGGAGGCTTACAACTGTCGATTTTGTAAAACGATAGCGCACCAGGAATTCCCAATCGTTGAAATGCTCCAGCGGTTTGAGCCGGTCCCGGCAACGTCGTCTCGGCACATCGACGTCCTGGTCGGGGTCTCGGTCGTCGTGAAGAACTTCGTCCGTTCTCAACACGAAGTCGACGAAGTCGGCGAACGATGCGTCGGCCGCCATGACACTGAACGCACTCGAGTGACTCGAGTGGCCGTTCAAGGTAGCTCCGGCGCAGACTCGAGATCTCGAGTAAATTTTGGAGTTTCGAGTGGAGATTTTGGAGTCGAGTGGAGTTTCGAGTGGAGATTTGTTTATGAATCGCAAAACCACCCTCAAGTCGAGTTTCGAGTCGAGTTTCGAGTCGAGTAGCGTTTAAGAATACGGCGGTTAGCATAGTTGTGGCTACTCCAGAATCAGACTATAGCTCTCTGTTGTTCTATTTCGCTGAATGATCAACTAGCATATCCTTGTTCCGTTACTTAAATAGCAGTTGAGTCAGCCGGCAGTACTACCCTCAACTACTGCGTGTATTGCGGCAGGAGAGCATGTTTTATTTATTAATTCAGACTTCCACTCATGGTCGCTAAAGGCCTACACCAGTACGAACTTTGTATAGTAAAAAAGGTACAGCAACCGGATTTACTTTTCGCCAAAAAGACCAACCAATCTGACACAGTTTTCCTTATTTTTTTGTTTTATTTGCACGCAGGTAACAGCGCAATTGGACCCTGTGAGTCTTTATCTAGCATAGTATTACACAACTGCCATACCAAAATCTGCGCACCTGCGCTTGAAAGTTCCAAAATGACGCGATTTTAAACAGAGTTTGCACGCCAGCCGGACACTAGCTACAGCCCATTTGGCGGAGCAGACGACATGTAGGGTGAGAGGGGGAGTACATTTTTTCTCTTTTACCCTCTCTGCTATGACCCTAATGGAACGGTCTATAATGAAGGAAGTGAAAACACCAATAAGTTCACAACATTATTTTCAACAGTTACTTTTAACCTTCAGAATAAATTTACGAAGCAAAATGGTTATAATTTAGTGATACTAGAGGGTTGCCACACACTATTTGACTGATTGCAAGTCAGTTACAGCCAATCGCCAGAAGCAGGGCTCTTTAACTTCTAGCATTAAGCTTGGAGCGATGCATGAAAATAAAAAAGCAGCACTTCACAAGTGGCTGCACCTGGCCTCAATGCAAATCCACTAAGAATCGAGGGTTCCACAAGAAACTTTGATGAGAAAAGAGCAAATGGACTCTTCTACAAATTTTGCACCATCTAGTAGTGGCATTTCAAAATGAAGCGCAGGCTCTCCATCTGCTACCATTACCCCATCAACAGTGTATAGACCTTTGGATCCCTGCCACTGTTCCGATGCTACACATAAAATGCTTCTCGATTTCGGCTTGCTGCTCTACAAACACAGAAGCATGGGGTGTGATAACAAAGACACAGTGAGGAAAAAATTAATTTAGGAAAGACAGAGAAGGTCAAAGACAAAAGACACTTTTCCCTCTTCCAGCAGAACTCTCGATAAAGAGAACCGACATGCTGCAACTTCCCCCCGACAACTGGTGTCAAGGAGAAAAACATAAAAGCGACACGAGATTAAACATTTATAGGACGGTGCCGGGTGACCCAAAGAGGTTTAATAAGCAGACTCATTTACTCTTGCAAAAAATGTAGTTGTGCGGAAGGGAGAGGCGAATGCCAAAAATTGCAAAGGTGGCAAACCCAAAAAGAGACACATATTCACGCATACATAATATACAAGCTCTGAGAAGGACTAATGAAGATATCCTCACTTGCAAATAATAGCTCATAAAAAATAGTCAACTGAAAAATTGTTGCTGTTTTGAGTGACAACGGTTCGAGGCAGCTTTAAAGGGTACTGAAACAAAAATTTAAATTTAGCCATTTCGTCCAGAAAAAGGTTAAATGTGATCACTTATACCTGTCGATGACAATGGCACGTTTGTATTTTGAGTGAATTTGTTTATTTTTCGTTCCAAACAGCACATTTTGGTTGGCGCTCGACGAGCTGCGGTCAGAAAGCGCAATGCATGTTGGGATACGCGGCAATATTTGTGATGCCATAGCCCGGGATAAGGGCAAGGCTACCTGGAAAACGTACGGTGACCATCACCAACAGCGGCAACGCGGGACGATCCAAATTATTTGGGCACCGGTGCACTCCTTGCTCCCAGGCAATGAGGCGGCTCACACGGTAGCTCGAGGTCTTACACGCCGAGCCAGTGAGCCTGCCCAACCGGGAACGCGAAGAGACCGCATGTCCACCTATCCAGAAATTACAAATCACTATCGACTGGGGCGGGCCCGGTACCCACCAGCTCAACCTGAACTCACTAAGAAGCAGGCGGTGGCCTGGCGCCTCCTCCAAACCAACATGTACCCGAGCCCAGTGGCCTGTAGCCGGTTCTACCCGGGACAATTTGAAACTATGTGTAAATTCTGTAAGGAGAAGGCGGATCTGCCACATATCTTATGGGCATGCTCTCAGACGGCACTGACCATTTATGGCCGCAAAATCCAAGACCGCGAGCACTGGGAGGCCCTACTGCTCACCTCAGACCCACAAGATCAGGTCTCGGCCACCCGGCTAGCCGAAGAAGCCGCCGAGGTCCAGGGGATCTCGGCCGTCTTCTAGGACAGCGGCGGATAAGACGGCAGCACCCATCACCCCACTCACAGTGCTGGGACAATAAAGTTTTATTCTCTCTCTCTTCTGGAGACTGGCATGATAATCACGTTTGGCACACGGGGGCATCAGCGCGTTGCAACTCAGCCGTTTGAAATGTCCGAGGTTTGCGGGAAGCTCTCAAAAACCTTGTTGCAGCGAGAGCTCCATTCGCTCCATTGACCGGTGGCCCAGTCCAGTTGACCAGTTGGAGCGTGTATGTGTTTGTGTGTATGTGTGTTGTGGATTTCTGCAATCTGAATCCCCCGTTGTGGCGAGTGGTGTTCTCGTGTTTTGTGTTGGTGTGCGATGTGACGTCCATGCGCTCGATCCAGCAAGTCTATGCAAGACAGTGCAAGGATGGCTCTCCGAAGAAGCGATACGCCTAACGAACGGGACAAACGCCGGACTCGCTTGCGCGGGGATCCGAAAAAAGCCTGAAGTTCAGTGACGTGCGTAGCGTAAACTGGAATTATAGACGGCCCCATACATAAGCTAAGTGTGATCTTGCGCTAGTCATGCATATTGGCAGTTGTTCCCGCTAGTGTCATTCTCACCAGCGCGCCTGTATTTGAGTACTTTCTTCCGTGAAGGTAAGCCATAAAAACATAATTGAAGCCCGAACTAGTTAAGGCTTGTTCACACACTTGTAACCGAGTACGACCGAGAGAGACAAGACCGGTTTGTAAGTCTCTTGCGACGTCTTAGGACCGGATGCGCTGCTGCGGAGCTGGTCCTAAGACGTCGTAAGAGGCTTAAAAACCAGTCTTGTCTCTTTCGGTCGTACTCGGTCACAAGTATGTGAACGATGCATAAGGGTCGTCCCTGAAACAGCGAAAACATGGTGTTTGTTGATTGCACTCAGCCGCTCAGCACGACAACCAGCTGCCAATTTTGTATTCTCGTTCAGTGACGTTGGTGTGACGTTTAGTGAAAAATAAAGCTTTTTTGTGCAAATGATCCCCATCCTCTGCTTGTTATCGAACATATCACGACGCAGCTAACTACACACAACTGCATGAAATGACGGCTTTTTTTTTCTTTCTTGACAACACGCTAGTTACACAATTTGGCCACATAAATGGCGTACAAAAACGCCGTACCATAACGATACCCGATAACGAAGAGACGCATGTTCAAGAGCGTCGGCAAAGTACCAGGTATCGTTATCGGAACAGTTTACTAAAACTTTCCGATGTCAGTGCCACAAATCGCTGAGCTTTTTGTTTGTTTTTTTTCTTAACATTTTTTGTTTTGTTGTTTTTCTGCATTTCTCCTGTGTGGGTGGTATTTCGGGGAATGCCGCGTATCCCGAAAAGAAGCGACCGGGGACTGGCTCATTACCTCCACTCCGCCTTGTGTACGCGTCATACCGAGAACCGAAGGCTTGCTGTGCGTGTATTCTGTTGGACCATGCCGAATGTTACGAAGGAAAGCTTGCCGCGCCCTGGTTTTGTTTACGTTAAAGCCACTTTGTGTGGGCGTTGCACCCTGAACCGAAGGTTTGTTTTGTTTGTGTTAGGTTTGTGGTCGGTCGTGCCATGCGGGGATGCCGAAGGGAAACGGTCGGAGGTCCGGCTCGGGAAAGGCCGCTTTCTGTACGCGTTCAATGGAGAGCACCGGGTGACCAAGTCCCCAAACCTCTCAGCGACGCTGTTGAAGCTGCATGGAGTGTAGAAGTAATTTTCTGTTTGTTTGCTTGTTTGCTTTTCTCCTGGAAAAACAAAAAAGGAAAAAGGGAAAAACCCCCAGAGTTCTCACTGGAGCCAAGAAGCTCGGTTCTGATTCGTTAATGTGAGTGGCTTCAGAATGCTGCTAGTTCTTATAAATAAAAGTGAACCGGCGGGAAAAAGACGCACGGAATCCCAAGGGCATTCGGAGACGCAGCTCTCCCGTCCTGCGGTCGTGAAGATGACGGGGATTTGAGCCCGCCGTTCGAACGTCATTGTTCTTACTCAAGTTTTGTTGGTTTCCTGTGTAGTACCGCGTGGTGCTAGAGTTGCAGTGTGAGTGCGTGAGGAAGTGCGCCTGAGAAAATCGTCCGGCGGACTGGACCAAGACCACGGAGGAGGCATCCAACCCACCCCCTGGACCAGCGACAATCCCGCAGATAAGACTTTCATTATCACTTGTATTTTGTTGTACCCGTGCGCTTTGAGTCTGCGGATATGTATTGAGCGGCTCTTTGATTTTCTGTTCGTCTGCTCGCGAGCGTACGTCGTCTACGGTTTCAGAGAGTTTTTTGTTTTGTTTTGTTGTTTGAAGAAAGTAGTAAATATCTTGCGATTTTATCCTCTACCCTGTGGTCGCTTCCCCTGCTCACTTTTACACCAGGCGTGGCCCTAGCGCCTGTCAACCGGTCAACATTTTTTTTCTTCTTTTGTGTGCACACGAGCTGTGGCCTTTGTCTTTTTAATATTGTTTCAACTAATTTACATACTGGACCACGCACATTTGTGACAGTCAGGGGGGACGAGGACGTTGCCTCTCAGATGCTTTCGGACAGGAGATTCGGCATTCACCGTGGCCAGCTCTACGCCGACTTTCTCATCCAAGGTTTCGAAATTGCGTTCAGGCCGAAGCCACTTGAAATTGGTATGCCGCACTCCCGCAGAGCGGCACTCCTGGTTTTGTAGTAAGTGATGCAACGACTTCCAACAAAGCTTTCGAAGCATCCACCAGGAGCAATTTTGGAATAATTTAATTTGTTTTAAAATTAATTTTCTAGTTTTCTGGACAAAATATTGATCTTTGCAAGGTGATACCACTGCCTAGCCGACATGTGAACAATAAAATGGGTGCTAGAATTTATTTCCGTACCACTTTAAGGAACAAATCTGAAGAAACACAGCCGTTTACCACTGCTTGTCATCCGGTCAACATGGTATTGGTTAACTTTGTCCACAGTGATTGGTAACTGTACATACAGTGTTTTTGTTGGTAGGATACAGACCTCCCTATTGGCCTTAAAGCCAACATAAAGATAGTCATGAGTAAAGAATGAGTAAGAGTGGCATTCTATTCAAGTTAACCTCAAATTAATTAGGTCACTATTCTCACCATTGTGCTGTCTTCTGGTTCATCTGGCTGGGTGCTGACCCTTTAAGTTTCCTGATACTGAAAATAAAACATCAACGTGAACAGGGTGCATACAGATGTCCCATGTACATAATGTAAACCTCCAATGAATACTTTCTTCAATAATGACAAATCAGAGCACTAGAAATAAATGTTCTAGAAACTTTGTAGGCTGAGAAAATTCCAATCGTTTCAGGTTCTGTATGTCTGCCCAATGGGTAGACACCCTGTTGATTTTATCAGAAAATTCTGTGGGGCTATAATCAAGCAAGTCAAAACATCAATCAGCTCACAACTTTATTTTCAATAGTTACTTTTAACCTTCAAAATAAATTTACTAAGCAATATGGTTACAGAGAACTGACATGCCGCAACTTTTCCCCAACAACTGGTGTGGAGGAGAGAAACCGTGTCAAAAGCAGACGGCGCCAGGTGACCCAAAGAGGTTAATAAGCGAATCATACAATCTTCCAAAAAATGTGGCTGTGGGGAAGGAAGGGGTTATTGCCAGAAATTGCAACAGTGGCAAACGAAAAGAAACACACAGAGTTACGCATACACAATATAGAATTTTTGAGAAGGACTAATGAAGATAGCCTCACTTGCAATAATAGCTCATGCCGAATTGTCAACTTAAGGATTATCGCTGTTTTAAATGACAACGCAGCTCATAATAATCACATTTGCCCTTTGGGGGCATCAGCACGTTGCAACTCAGCCGTTTGAGATGCCCGAGGCTTGCAGGAAGCTCTTGAGAAACCTCGTTGCTGCGAGAGCTGCAACGAGGTTTCTCGAGGTAGCTTTAAGGAACAAATCTGTAGCTACACAGCCGTTTACCACTGCTTGCCTTCCAGACATCATGGTAGTCATTAACATTGTCCACAGTGATTGGTAACCGGAGATGAATTTCAGTCCGACTAAGACACTTATCGTTTTGAACTTGATTGTGCGATGACGACCATGGATGCTAAAGGCAGCGGTCTCTGCCCCCCCCCCCCCCCCCCCCAACCGGTGTTGCCTGCCGCACTTGTTAAACACAGCATCTCGCGGTTTTGCAGCCACTTCGTAAAGTGTCTAATCGCGTCATGCGATGCTAAAGCCATTTTTTGCCTTTGTTTGTAGAGTCAGCAGGGCTAGACTTTTCTGGCCTTGTAAGTAAAAATTACCAGTAGACTACTGCTATCAGTGATGGTTAAAGGTGTTTTTAATGAGTGAATTCTTAAAAATATGTACCAGCAGATGGTTAGAGGGCCCAGGTTCTTTGGGAAGCAGATGAGGTGTCCTGAAATAAAATGACAAGTATGATTGCTTCAATACAGGAACCTATATCATGAAATTACGAGCTCGTTGGCAAACACTACTTTTGGGGCATTGTTAAGACCTGTCAATTCATCAATATAATATATGTACCAATTATATGCAAAAGACTAAATTTCGAAGCCATGAAAATTAATGCGACAAACGAAGGGGAAGGCATTAGCATGACACAGCCCCACAAAGTCCCGTGTGAATAATCTGCTGCACGCACTTCAAGATAAAATTACAGATTTAAATCGGTTCAGCTTTGGAAAAAGAGCGAGCAGTAGAGCGCTCCAATGTGGAAAAAAGGTCTAGGCTTTTGCTATTAAGCGAGTCTGCATGGCTTTCAGGGTGCGATAGCGGTTGCCGTCCCAACTCGGCTGAGATGCTTCAAATGCTTAAAGGGCAACTCCGGCCAAAACTCAAACTAAAATAAATTACTGGTATCGCTGTAGCGCCACAAAATACCACCCCAGCCAAAATATTATATTCGTGGGAAGCCGCATTCTAAACTAATGCCGATAATCAAAATGCGACCCGCCGCGAGCCGCTGCTTCTTAGCGGGCGGGCAGCGGGTTGACGATCGCTAAAGC